GCATTATCCACACTACCTTTGCGTCTAATCGCTAGGTTTATCATTCACTGGTAATCACGGAATGGCATATCGTGTTTTCATTTCCGGTTTCTCTTGTGATTTCATTCGCAAAATAGGTGCGAAAGCGAAAGCACATTTCAGCATGAAAAGGTAGATTTACTGTTCCACGGAGCCCTCCCCTAAACTTTGAGGAGATCACCATGTTGATGTAATGTTTTTTACTTTACATGTCTTTACAGTGGTTGTTAATCTTTATGTAACGATTCAAATCAGTCAACCTTACTATTTCATTAAGTTTTGAAGAAGATTGCTGTCATATCGACTGTCGAGAGTTTGAAAAAAACTCACGTGGACGACGTCTCAACAATGGTTAAAATCAGCTTTTTCCTCTCATTGGTTGACTGTCACCTTCCTTCTTCTACTTACGATTCTTGTTGCCGCAGTCCTCCGCTCAATCTTCACGTGTTTCGCCATCATATGCTGGCCCCTTCTCCTTAAAACGTCTGCCAATCAGGCTTTGCAGATGTATTTTAGCCAACCCTTGGTCTTCATCTATTACGAATAGAAAGATAATATGTGTTCCTTTTACTTTTTTTAAGTTGATTAAGCTACAAATAGATGACGGAAGCAATTCAATTCGTCTTGACAGATGCAACTAAAACAGTCAACATTTGATTTCTTTTTGTATCATACCAAAAAGGATGCGCAGACAATCCACAGTTCAAAGACCAATGCGCGGACATTGCTTTGACACCAGGCCTTTGTCAAGAGCAGGAAGACTTCACGAGAAAGAATTGCAAATCGTCATGTGGATGGTGTGGTAAGTAAATCCAGTCATAATCAGAACTCGGCTAAAATAGCTTTTTGGTTCGGTTTGTTAAGATGCTTGATGTTAGTTCTTATCAAAAGGCGTTTGTTACTGGCTACATTTTTAGAAAAGTTTCGACAACAAGGTAGTCGGGTGATCGAGTATTTGCTAAGAGAGAGTTGACCAGGGGTCTCAAGAAAGGCCGCTACGAGCAGTCTACCGCCCCTTATAAGACTTAGCTCTTGCTGCCGTCTGTTAGGGTTCCGCCTTACGCCTTCCGTTCCTGACATAGTCGTCTTTTACACCATAAGCAGCTGCTAATGAAAAACATCATTGAAACTCCTGGAGTTGACCGCACGGAGTACCCGCTCGGTAGCCAGATTCCTGTTGCTTAGCTGTTGCCAACTTCAATTTGCTGCGTTCATGGGCAACGTGTCTTACAACTTACGTACAATCCACAATTAAATTAGTTACAAAACATCCACCTTGCCACTTTTACGGAAACGGAATTTAAATCGACCTCTTTCTTTGAAATAGAAGAGAAATACTTTTTAATAATACGATGACAGTGCCAACATTGGCATCTGAGGAGAAATACTTAAACTGACAATCCCAGCCAAGGCCCCTCATTGCCCCTTGGATCACTGAATTAACTGCGTAAGTTCTAATGTTTCTGATATTGCTCGTCTTGTTTTCTTTGTTTTTGTTTCTTTAGGTTCACCAGCAACAAAGCCTCCTATTCAGGAAAGTATGTGCAACTTTACTTAAACAAGCACAGTAAACGAACACTGAGGAACAAACGCACGCACGAAAAGATATCCCCAGATACTCACATAACAGAGCAATGAACATTGGTTGATCCTCCATTTAACAACTATTAAGAGAAGGCGTAACTTAAATAACGAGTTTTTTCCGCTTTTAAGTAATGGTCTAAGCGGGTAATGCTGATGGTTACGGGCCGAAAATTTTATCAATAACGGCACGCGAATAATCTGAGATGCAATCATGAAGAAGATTATAATGATGATAATGATAATAATGATTATC